AGGTCTGCCCGGTGGGGCCTGGGCGTGGCTGACAGGCCTTCCTTGGCAGGTGGGACAGGAGGCCACCGCAGCATCCCGAGCCGCGGCCCCAGGAGCGATGACCGAGTACAAGCTGGTGGTGGTGGGGGCCGGAGGTGTGGGGAAGAGCGCCCTGACCATCCAGCTCATCCAGAACCACTTCGTGGACGAGTACGACCCCACCATCGAGGTGAGCGGGCCGCTCCTCACCCCAGCACCACCCTCCAGGGGGCCTGTCTTCTGCCTGCTCTGCAGGAGCGGTCCCCTTGATGGAGGACCTGGGGAGCACAGGAGGGGCTGGTGATGCTGCTGCCACACCCCCAGAGGAGGGGGTCCCTGAGCGGTGTCCTCCCACAGGACTCCTACCGGAAGCAAGTGGTCATTGACGGGGAGACGTGTCTGCTGGACATTCTGGACACGGCGGGCCAGGAGGAGTACAGTGCCATGCGGGACCAGTACATGCGCACCGGGGAGGGCTTCCTCTGTGTGTTCGCCATCAACAACACCAAGTCTTTCGAGAGCAGATCAAGCGGGTGAAGGACTCGGACGACGTGCCTATGGTGCTGGTAGGGAACATGTACTGTGGAGTCTCGGCAGGCGCAGGACCTTGCCCGCAGCTATGGCATCCCCTACATTGAGACTTCCGCCAAGACGCGCCAGGGCGTGGAGGACGCCTTCTACACGCTGGTGCGTGAGATCCGGCAGCACAAGGTGCGCAAGCTGAGCCCGCCGGACGAGGGCGGCCCTGGCTGCATGAGCTGCAAGTGCCTGCTCTCCTGACGCCCCTGCGGGTCCTGTGTGCCCGCCCCGCACAGGAGCCCCGGAGGTGCCGGATGCTGGGAGGAGGGGAAGGAAGGAAGGAAGTGCCGCCAAAGCCCGGCCAGCCCAGGGCTGGGGGACAGAGTGACCGTGGGCCTCCCAGGATGCTTTGCACAGACTGGTGAACTGAGGTCTCCGGCCCCAGCCGCGCATCTATTTGCAGCCCGTCCCGGCCCACTGGGCGCAGGTTCTGTTGCAGTAAATTATTTGATGGTCTTGAAGAAAAAAAAAACAAAAAACATTTGAAAATAAACATAGAAAGTAAAATTCCAATGTTTTATATGAGAGGCACAGCGAATTTCTCTTACCAAGTTCCTATGCAGTTTGTAAATGTGACTTCGCTTATGCCATGCAGACTAGTGCGGCATGGCCAGTGGTCGGCCAGGAAGCGCACTGGAGCTGTGGGGACACATTGGGAGGACTTGACCTTTGCTCTAAGCCAGCGGTTCTCAACCTGTGGGTCGCGACCCCTTTGGCAGTCGAACGACCCTTTCACAGGGGTCGCCTAAGACCATCCTGCATATCAGATATTTACATTACGATTCATAACAGTAGCAACATTACAGTTATGAAGTAGCAACGAAAATAATTTTATGGTTGGGTCACAACATGAGGAACTGTATTTAAAGGGCCAGAAGGTTGAGAACCACTGGTCTAAGCGAAGGGGGAGCCGTGGAGCAGAGGACGCCCGTTTCAGAGGACGGGGTGCAGGGCCCCAAGGGACTCAAGGAGACCAGCTGTGAGACTTGCATCTCACAGGAGCAGGGATGGGGGCTCAGACCGGGGTGGTGGCAGCACTGGAAACGGCAGAATGATGAGTTGAGCCACAGAACTTCCTGGCGGACCCGATGGGGTGTGAAGGAAAGAGAAGTCCGTGGTGACGCCGCAGCTTCAGGTGATAACACCAAAGGTGAATTGCTGTCAGCGGAGGCTGGGAAGGCGCCGGCTGAGATGCAGGGGTGGGGGTCAGGGTGAGGGTCAGCAGTTGGATTCTGTATATTTTGAATTGTACTTGCAGCACCTAGGAGATCTGTCTGGTGAGAAATGTGTCAGCATCATGATGTTCCCTGAAGGCCTGTATCCTGAAGTGGACGCTGGGGCTACACAGAAACCCGAGAAGCCCCTGGAGTGTGCCTTCTCACCTATGACCTTTCACCTTTCAAGACAGGGCACAGTTGCTGTATTTGGAAAGGTCACAAGAAGTCAGTTTAAGAGCCTGCAGCGGAGGTTGCATCCTGACATGAGGTTCTCCTCATGCTTTATTCCACTTTGCTTTGGAATCGAGTCACCAGGAAGAAAACAGTCTCCTCATTGCAGATACCAGGTCTGGTCACCCCTGAGTTCCGCGAGGCCGCTGTGCAGCTGCCTGGATGTAAGCAATCTGGCCACGTCATCTGCCACCCATTGGCTGCCAGGGCTGTGTTGGCTCCTCTGGTTACCAGTGATTGTAGAATTTATTAAACACACCTTAGCGACACCGAACATATAACAGCTCTTGATACTTTACTGCCCAGTGAATGAAAGGTAAGTGGTAAACGTGTCCAGAGTTAATGAGCCCAGTTCCTTAAAATAAATATATGTGCTCACCACATAAGGTTGGAAGGTATTGCAAGAAAATTTTACACGTGATTATTTCGGTGGAGACACGGAGTAGTATCTTACCTCGTACGCTTTTTGGTGTGTGATAAAGATATGTTTTACCCCCATGAGCCCCCTCCAGCCTGCCCCACCCCCGCCAGCCTTCACCACCCCACTGTCTGTGTCCATGGGTTATGCATACAAGGTCTTTGGTTGATCAC